GGGGGGTTAAATTGTAAATTTTACACCCCCATCAACCATTTCGGAGAGACCATCACCACGTGCAGGCTCATCGTCATCAGTAAGTTGACACATCTTGTCTTAGAGATTGTCTTTCCACACAACTGTGTCAGACACTGGGCGTTTTGGCTGGTTGGTGGGTGCTCTGGTGAGGTTTGCTTCTTTTGTCCTATCAAACTTCTATCATCTTTATCTCCCCTCCTTCTTTTTTATGTTTGTTACTCTCTTGTAACACCTCTAATCTTCGGTACTTATATGACCTTATTATGTTGCAAGCGCCGTAAACCTCTTACTGAAACTAAACGAAAAAACACTGGGAGGTCATAGTTCATTGTTTGTCATTTCTCTCCAGGCGAAGAGACAGTTGTGACGGACGAGGTCCACAAAGAGACCATCGAGATTGACCGTAGCCCAGAGCAGGTCATGGAAGGACCTGACCACACAAAGGTCACAGAGGTCATCGACGTGGACACGCTCATGCAGCCAGAGCCCAAGAGAGAGACGTTCGAGATTCAGATCGGCCTCCCCCAGCAGCAGCCGACAACGACGTCCACCACGGTGGTACAGGAGACTTCCACCTTCACACAGGTCACACGCGAGTTCGTGGATGACGTTCCTGCCGTCACCGAAGGACCATCCACCCAGACCACTACCACCACCGTGACCGCCAGGAAGGACGAAGAGCTTGCTCCCATAGAGCTCCGAGTTCAAGTCCCGGTGGGACCCCAGGAGGAGTTTGTGGACCACTACACAGAGGCGACACGGACCATCACTCAGGAGATCAAGTCGATCCCCGTGGCAGACACCTCCCTACCCGAGGAGACTCACACGGAGACGATTGAGATCACCACCCAGCAGCCACAGCCGATGGACATCCCCATCACTGTGTCGTCCACCACCACCACACAGGTCTCACAGACTGTCGAGGCCACCAGAGCCGCCGCTCAGCGCATCGAGGTGGAGATCCACGAGACCACGCTACAGAAACAGCCACAGACCCAAGAGATCCAGGTGGCCATCGGCAAGGTCAGCACTGCCGACATACAGGTCAAGGAGGTTGCTCCGGACAGCGAGGCTCCCCGCCCCAGCGAGGATAGGATCGAGGAGACACGGACGACCATCACGAAAGAAACCAAAGTGATTGAGATCAAGAAACCCGAGCCGGAACCTCAGAGGGAGGAGATTCAGCTGACGTTTGCTGTCGCTGCCCCCCAGCCCGAGGAGACGGGTCAGATAGAGGAGACTGTGCCGGAGACCACCTCCCAGGAGGTAATCCAGACCAGGGAGGAGACCGTTGAGATGACCTTCACGACCTCTGTGGTTGAGGAGGTCACGGAAGACAAACCCGAGGAGCGGCCAGAGGAGGTAGACATGGAGGAGACGGAGGTGAAGATCCCCTTTGAAGAAACCGTGGAGGTAGAACAAGACACTGTGGAGAAATCTGTGGTCCCCAGCGAGGTGGAGATTTCTGTACAACTCCCTGAGGCCCCCGAGGAGCCGCTGGAGGAAGAGAAGCCAGAGAGTACCGTGGAGGAAGTGGTGGACACACAGGTGGTCAGCTCTGAGGTGTCCGTGGTCCCCACTGAGGTGGACACTAGCGTGACGGAGGAGCGGTCAGAGACTGTGGAGAAAGTGGAGCTGGTCATCGAGGCCACACAGCCCGTGGAGGAGGTCACCGAGACGGAAGTGAGCGAAGTGGAGATGCTCATCCAGATGCCGTCCGCCGTGGACGAGATGGTGGAGGAGAAACCCGCGGAGGTGGACCGTCCTCTAGACGAGCAGGTCACAGAGACCAGCGAGACGATCGTGGTGAGTACATCGGAGGTCACGGCCGACCTGACCCCTCAGGTTCCGGCGGAAGTGGAGTTCCAGCTGGAGGTCAAGCCGGAGGAAGACGTGGAGGAGAAGCCCGAGGAGGTGACCACCACGGTCAGCGAGACGGAGGCTGTGGTCACTCTCGAGACTCAGATCCCCGCCCCTCAGGAGGAGAGCCAGGTGTCCCAGGTGACGTCAGAGGAGACGACCTTCACCGTGCAGGTGGGTCAGCAGCCAGAGGTCACCGAGGTTCCCCAGGTGTCTGAGGACACGACAGAGGAGATCACCCTGGAGGTCCAGATGACGGAGGAGGAAGCCATGACGCCGGAGACAGTCACCACAGACATACAGGAGACCACGGTCACAGAGACAGAACAAGTCCTGGAGTCACACAAAGAGGAGATCGAGCTTCAGATTGGACAGAAACCCGCGGAGACCACGGAAGAAGTTCAGTTCTCGATCCAGCTCCAACCGGACCAGACAGAAGTCTCCCAGATGGAGATCACCGTAGACTCGAGCACGACAGACAAAATCGAGCTGGAGGTGCAAGAGGAGCCCATGGAGACGGAGACATTTGTCTCTGAAGTGGCTGTGAGCAAAGATGAGACAACTGAGAGCCACAGAGAGGAGCTCAGCTTCCAGATCCAGGGCCAGCCTCAGGAGATTCAGCCCGTGGAGCTGACTCTACAGGTCCAGGAGAAGCCGGAGGAAGAGATTGTGGTGGAGACGCAGGCCCCAGAAACGGAACAGGTGAGAGAATAGCACTCTTAGAGGGACACATGTCCACGGAATAGAGGCTGCAGGATTGGGTTGTTTAGGGGTTGTGGGTTTTTATTACTCAGAGTTTTCCTCATTTGTCAGAAATATCTGCTCTAGTTCTCTTTATATTTATTATAGCAAATCGTTCTAGTTGGACGTTGGTTTTCGGACATTACTGAAAAAAAAGAACTTAACTAGATCGTTCAAATCCTCATTGAACTCAATTGAAAATGTATTTAACGGTGACGGAATTCAGGAAGACATGATGTTACAATATAAAGTTACATTGGTTTAATATTTCACTACTGAATGCGTCGAGACTGAAATATATTTATGATTAAATACAGTAAATTCAAAGTTGAACCTTGCTTCTTGCTAGTTCTAAGAAATAATCTCTCTTCCTTTTTTTCTTGCATATTACTCTCCAGTAAAACCTCTAATCTTCTGCACTTATATGACCTAATTATGTTGAAAGTGCCGTAAAATTAAGAACTAACTACTGACGTGTTTAGTTATTTCTCAAACCTGTTCCTTTCCTCCCCACTTGCCCACAGATTATTCTAGTGGCTGACGAGAGCCAGGGACGCGCTCCCGAGTTCACGTGGGGCCTCATGTCGCTTAAGGTCATGGACGGAGAAGAGGTCAAGTTTCGTTGTGAGGTGAGCCACATTGCTCGGTTTGTCTGAGCCCTTTACCCCAATGTTCCTTTCTCTCTCTGTGTTCTTGAGCCACATTGCTCTGTTAGTCTGAGCCCTTTACCCCAATGTTCCCTTCTCTCTCTCTGTGTTCTTGAGCCACATTGCTCTGAGCTTTTTACGCCAATGTTCTCCATCTCTCTCTCTCTCTCTCTCTCTCTCTCTCTCTCTCTCTCTCTCTCTCTCTCTCTCTCTCTCTCTCTCTCTCTCTCTTTCTCTCTCTTTCTCTCCCTCCCTCCCTCCCCACCTCTCTTCCCTTTTTTCTGTCTCTTACACACACACACAGCCTTGCCTTACACACAAAAAAAACACCCATGAACTACTCACGAACGATCTATGTCTCCCCCATCCACCCACCAGGTGACCGGCGAGCCAATGCCGGAGATCTCGTGGTACCATGACGACAAGATCATCACGGAGAACCAGGACTTCAACCTGACATATGACGTAGAGAGTGGTGCGTGCACGCTGCTCATCGCCGAGGTCTTCCCGCAAGACGCTGGCGAGTACAAGTGTGTGGCTGTCAACCCATTCGGCGAGGCCGTCACGCGCGCCTATCTCGAGGTGGAATGTAAGTCAACATCAGATCAGATCAGATCAGATCAGATAAATAAGATGAGATAAGATAAGTAATATACTGGCACACATCTCGAGGTGGAATGTAAGTCAACATCAGATCAGATAAAACAATATTTCGTTTTTTGATCAATTCATTTACCTCCTCCCTTGATCTACACTTCGTCTACAGTTGGATAAACGTTTAGTAATCAAGTGTTAACTAATTTTTGCAAGTGTTGTTTGACGAAACATTCTCTGTCCCAAAGTACTTAACTGCAAACACAGCCTATCCTGCTCCAACAGCCAAGGGCAAGAGACTATCGCCTTACAAACTATTGCTTCCCGTGTTCCTCCTTGGCTTATTTATACATGATAATGATACTGTCCAAGACGTTCACCTTTTAAGACAACCGTGTTTCTCTTTGACAAATGGTTACGAGTACATGTACTGATGTTTCAATGTCTTATGTACTGATGTTTCACTGTCTCTGTTCCCTATCCCCACCCTACGAGTACATGTACTGATGTTTCAATGTACTTATGTGTCAGTGTCTCTGTTTCCTATCCATCAGCCTACGAGTACATGTACTGTGTCAATGTACTGATATACTGATGTGTCAATGTACTGATATACTGATGTTTCAGTGTTTATGTACTGATGTTTCAATGTCTTATGTACTGATGTGTCAATGTACTGATGTACTGGTGTGTCAATGTCTCTGTTCCCTATCCCCAGCCTACGAGTACATGGCAGACACTGAAGAAGCCTCTGACTCCATGATGTCCTCTCTCGAGCCCTCCTCCCCGAAGCCCACGCCGGCAGACTCGGACACCGAGGCCCTGGCACACACCCAGGAGTTCGTGGAGGAGATCCAGAAGCTCCAGGAGAAGATCGCCACCGAGCTGACGGAGGCTGACGACCAGGTGCCTGACGAGGATGTCGTGGACTCCCGCCCCGTGGCGCAAGCCGAAGTGGAGCAGGAGCAGCCGGATGTGGAGCAGACGGTGGAGATCGTGGAAGAGTCCACTGACGTCGTCACAGAGACGCAGGAAGTCGTGGAGTCTGGCGAGACAGAAGTGGAGGACACAGAGTTCCAGGCTGACTCCGTGGTGGAGGTTCCTCAAGTAGAGGAGACCAGCCCGGCTGAGGAAGTTATGCCTGAAGTGGACGAGGCTCAGACCTCGGAGATCGTGGTCCAGTTCGAGAAACCTGACCAGGAACAGCCAGACAGCTACCAGACGGAGGTTGTCGAGGAAGTGGTCACTCAACCAGAACTGACAGAAGTCACAGAGTCCGAGCAGGCGGAAGTTCAGCCGTCCGAGATCCAGGTGGAGCTGGCGGAGACAGAGCAAGAGCAGCCGACAGAGTACCAGACCGAGGTGTCTATGGAGATTGTGGCTCAGCCTGAGATCTCCGACACCGCCGAGTTTGTCCCCGAGGAAGTGCAGCCCGCCGAGATTCAGATCGATCTTGCGCAACCCGCGGAGGAACAGCCCGAGGAGTACCAGACACAGGTGGCTGAGGAGGTAGTGAGCCAGCCCGAGGTCTCTGAGACCACCGCGGTGCCCACTGAGCAAGTCGAGCCCTCAGAGATTGTGGTGGAGATTGCTCAAGCCGATAGAGAGCAGCCGGAGGAGTATCAGACAGAGGTCTCCTTTGAGACTGTCACTCAGCCGGAAGTGGAAGACACGACGGAACCAGAGACAGAGGAAGTCCAGCCGTCGGAGATCCAGGTGGACCTCACGGAACCCTCCCAGGAGCAGCCTCAGGAGTACCAGACGGACATCACCGAGGAGCTCATTGACCAGCCAGACGTCCAGGACACCACAGAGGTAGTCACCCAGGACGTCCAGCCCTCAGAGATACAGGTGGAAGTCGTCGAGGCCGAGAAAGAACAACCTCAGGAATATCAGACCGGAGTGACCGAGGAAGTGGTCAGTCAGCCAGAGGTGAGCGACACCACTGATGTACAGACAGAGGAAGTTCAGCCCGCGGAGATAGAAGTTGAGCTTGCTCAACCAGAACAAGAACAACCTGATGAATACCAGACTGAAGTTATCGAGGAGGTAATCACACAGCCTGATATTTCAGAAACTACCGAAGTGGTTACCGAAGAGGTTCAACCCTCTGAGATCCAAGTCGACATTTCTGAAGCGGTCAAAGACCAGCCCGAGGAATACCAGACTGACGTCACCGAGGAAGTCGTGGCGCAGCCCGACGTGTCAGAGACAACAGACACAGAGACTGAGGAAGCCCAGCCCTCGGAGATCCAAGTGGAGCTCGTGGAGGCATCAAAAGAGCAGCCGGAAGAGTACCAGACTGACGTCACCGAGGAAGTTGTGGCTCAGCCCGATGTGGCTGACACCGCAGACGTCGACAAGGAGGAGTTGCAGCCGTCGGAAATCCAAGTGGGAGTTTCTGAAGCGGCCCAGGAACAGCCTGAAGAGTACCAGACTGGACTTGTGGAAGAAGTCATCCCACAGCCAGACACTGCAGACACTGCTGAGGCTGAGATGGAAGAGATTCAGCCCACAGAGATCCAGGTGGAGGTTTCTGAAGCTGTGAAAGATCAGCCCGAGGAATACCAAACTAGCGTCACTGAGGAAGTCGTGAGCCAACCCGATATTTCAGAAACTACCGAAGTGGTGACCGAAGAGGTGCAGCCCTCTGAGATCCAAGTCGACATTTCTGAAGCTGTGAAAGATGAGCCCGAGGAATACCAAACTGAGGTCACAGAGGAAATCATCACGCAGCCTGAAATCTCAGACACCACGGAAGTAGAAACTGACGAGGTTCAACCCTCGGACATCCAAGTTGAACTTGCACAGCCTGCCCAAGAGCAGCCCGAAGAGTACCAGACAGGAGTCACCGAGGAAGTCGTCACTCAACCCGATGTGTCGGAGACCACGGACGTGGAGCTTGTGGAGGTACAGCCCACAGAGATTCACCTCGACATTTCCGAGGCAACGAAAGAGCAGCCTGAGGAATATCTGACAGAAGTGGCTGAGGAAATCGTCACCCAGCCTGATGTGACAGACACGACAGACGTGCCGACAGAAGAACTGCAGCCGTCTGAGATCCAGATAGAGCTGGCCGAACCTTCCAAAGAGCAGCCTGAAGAATATCAGACTAGCGAGACGGAGGAGGTGATCGCTCAACCCGAGGTCACAGACACAACGGTTGTCCTCACCGAGGAAGTTCAACCGACCGAGATCCAGGTGGAGCTGACCCAACCTGCACAAGAGGAGCCCTCCGAGTACCAGACAGGCGAGACCGAGGAGGTGGTCTCTCAGCCTGACGTCACAGACACAGCCGTTGTGGAGACGGAGGAAGTACAACCGTCCGAGATCCAGGTGGACCTGACCAAACCTGAGCAGGAAGAGCCGGAACAATACCAGACTAGCGTCACGGAAGAAATCGTATCTCAGCCCGAAGTGTCGGAGACCACTGAGGTGGAGCTGGGCGAACTGCAGCCTTCAGAGATCCACGTGGAAGTCTCTGAGGCCGCCGAGCAACAACCCGAGCAGTACCAGACAGGAGTCACTCTCGAGGTTGTGGATCAACCCGAAGTCTCCGAGACCACCGAGGTCGACAGCGAGGAAGCCCAGACTTCAGAGAGCCACGTGGAGTTTGCAGAATCCACCCTGGAACAACCTGAAGAATACAAGACCGAGTTTGTCCTGGAACAGGTCGGTCAGCCGGAAGTGTCTGACGTCACAGCTGTGGTCACTGAGGAGGTCGAGCCCTCCGAGATCCAAGTTGAACTCGCGGAGACGGCGAAGGAAGAGCCGCAGGAGTACCAGACCGACGTGGCTGAGGAGATTGTCTCGCAGCCCGAGCTGTCAGACACCACGGAGACAACGACCGAAGAGCTGCAGCCCTCAGAGATCCAAGTGGAACTTTTAGAACCGGCCAAAGAACAGCCGGAGGAGTTCCAGACAGAAGTGTCCGAGGAAGTGGTCAGCCAGCCTGAGGTAACCGACACAGACCAGGAGGTGCCAGAAGAAGTGCAACCGTCAGAAATGACTGTCCAACTCGAGGAGGCTGAAAAGGCTCAGCCGGAGGAAAGCACAACTGAAGTAAGTGAAGAAATTCCTGAACAACCAACCGTTTCTGAGATTGTCGAAGTAGATAGCACAATCGCCGAGGAACAGCTCCAAGAGTTCGCTGAGGAGTTCGCCAAGAAGGTCATGGAGGAAGTTCGGGAACTGCAGCCACAGGAAGAACCAGTCGTCCCAGAGGACGTGCCCGTGTTGGAAGAAGAGACCCCGGACCAGGTGGAAGAAGAGACCCCAGACCAGGTAGACTCCTTCGTCTCGGAGGTATCTCACGAGGTGGTCAAGGACACTGAGACTACTATCACATCCAGCATCACCTTCGAGACCACAGCAGACGTGACCGAGAAGTCGGAGGTCGAGCTGACCATCCCTGCCAAGCCAGAAGAGGAAGAGGAGGTGGTCACTGTGACGGAACAGCTGGAGGTAGCCGCGGAAGAAGCCGAGGCGCCGCGCTTCTTGACCACTCTGAGAGAGATCACGGTGATGGAGAACACCAAGCTGGTGCTGGAAGTCGTCTACACGGGACGACCTATGCCAAAGGTGAGACACTGTTGACCTTTCGTGACCTCAGTGCTTTCTTTTCCTATCTATATTTCCTATCTCTATTTCCTATCTCTATTTCCTATCTCTATTTCCTATCTCTGTTTTAAATGACAGTGAAAACAGTTCATAACAAAGAGTGGGCTTAAGAAGAAGTCACATTTTCAATGCTTTACAAAAATGGAGATGGGACAAGAAAGCACTGAGGGTGTGCTTTTGCTCTGACTGTACTCCCTTTCCCTCTTTGGAAACAAAACAACACTTTCTTTTACTCTCCCTTGATAGAGAGTCGTCAATCTTTCTGTTGCCTCCCATGTTATAGAGTGGTCAATCTTTCTGTTGCCTCCCATGTTATAGAGTGCTTAATCTTTCTGTTGCCTCCTATGTTATAGAGTGGTCAATCTTTCTGTTGCCTCCCATGTTATAGAGTGGTCAATCTTTCTGTTGCCTCCCATGTTATAGAGTGCTTAATCTTTCTGTTGCCTCCCATGTTATAGAGTGGTCAATCTTTCTGTTGCCTCCCATGTTATAGAGTGGTCAATCTTTCTGTCCCCCTCCCTTGATAGAAAATCGACAATTTTTCTGTCCCCCCTCCATGTTAGAGAATCGTAACATTTCTGTGGCCCCCCCCCCCATGGTACAGATTCGTCAAACTTTCTGTCCCCTCACCCCCTTGGTACAGATTCCTCAATCTTTCTGTCATCCTCCCTTTGGTACTGATTCATCAACTTTTCTGCCCCCCCCCCCCCTCCCACGATAGAGATTCGTCAATCTTTCTGTCCCCCCTCCCATGATAGAGACTCGTCAATCTTTCTGTCCCCCCTCTCTTGATATAGATTCATCAATCTTTCTGCCCCCTCCCCCCTCCATCCCTCACCTCAGGTGGTGTGGTTGGTGGACGACGAAGAGTTGACTCCGGCCGAGGACCTGGAGATAGTGACAGAGTCCGGCCGCTCCACTCTGACCATCCTGGAGACGTACACGGACGACGAAGGCTTGTACAAGGTGGAACTCACCAGCCAAGTCGGAACCTGCGTCTGCTCTGCTTACGTCACTGTCAAACGTAAGTTGCCTGGTTTGTGCACTCTTGGTTTGCGTCTGGTTCTGATAGGCATGCACACCCATTTGTATCTTGCGAGTCGTCAGAAAGATGTATCTTGAAATGAGCAGGGGGGAACTCGGTACAGTTTCGAATACGTCAGGCTGTGGGATGGAATAGAAACTAGTCCGTTTGCTGAAGATAATGGAAAACATACAGGTTGTGATTATATTAATTGATTGTTCTGTACAACAAGAACAGCTAGGCTATGACGATGTGGTGTTAGCTGCCTTAAAAAAACTATGACCCAGTGATAGAAGCTGATGTCCTGAGTAAAAAAAACAACAAATATAATATTATTTATGTCCAAGTCTACTGGAGGTCAAAAATGGTTTGTAAATCAAATGCAGTAAGGCCATGACGTATTTTAGCGTAGCAAGGGTCATCAGTCTTTTTGGGAGTTAGAAATTATAGCAATGTTGGCTTGGAATGCTTTGTAAATAGGTGACATTATTGCAGGGGGTAAGAGAGAACGATATTACGTCATTGATAATTCTGAGTTTCGTTTTAGGGAAGACAAAGATAAGCTAGTGCTGAGTAGGTCCGAACTCCCATATCTATCCACCCACATCAACTCTAGGTAGCGCTGGTGTAGGGTAGCTGGAGTGATCATGGGTGTGCATGCCTCGTTTCTTATTGACGTCAATGATTTTCCTTTTGTTCGCATTTGTGCACTCTTTTCCATGTTCTATCCTTTGCGTGGGGGACACTCGTCTTCACTGCATTCATTTTTGGGCTGGGTACAAATAACCAAAGAAAAGTCTTCCTCGAAGATGTTGACCTGTTTTCTTAAGTAGTAATTTTGAGGTTGGAGCTGTTTTGTTTAAGAGAGCTAAAGTGTCCCCCACGCCTCTGGTCTTCTGTTTAGATAGTCTGTCAGTTACTTTAGTCAGTAGATTGGATGGAAGTTTGTTTTATTAACTGTGCAAGCTTCTTTGCTAGATGTTTTTAACGTTTCTAAACCCGGTTTAGTTTTGCACTACAATTTCAGTGACACCTTCACTGGCACATAACCCTTTGAAGAATACAGCACACACGTTTCACTGTGATGTATTTTGGAAGAATTATACGTTTTGTGCAAAAAGTTATGTTTCAGGGAGTTAAAAATAAAATGTCAACTCTGAGATTTAATATGTTGTACAATGTTTGTAATTTGAAAACTATATATTATAATTATATTATGCAAATGTGCTCTGGCTGAGCTGTGTGGTGTGATAATGAGTCGCTGATCTGTCCCCTGTGAAGTCTTGTCTGTCCATCTCTCAGAGCTTGTGCTTACCATAGTCTCTCTAGTGTCTGTCTGTGTGGGTGTGTCTGTTTCACACCAGCGCGCCGTGTGTGGATGTTGGATCACCGTGCCGTGTGCTTTAGGATTAGTCAAGGTGTGATGGGGCCAAGATGAGTCGCCTTACGTTGTCTACCTATTTTAGTGAAGCTTTCTTCGTGGGGATTGAGGATAATATATTTTTTGGCATCATTTTTCCAATTCCCAAAGCTTTATACAACGAACAAAATAAGGCTTGCTCTGATGTTCTCTCTAGCTGTAGAATGCAACAAATGTCAATGCTCCCAGAGCTTCTCATGTTGCTGTCACAGTCCAAAAACATTTTTAACAAGCCAGTCTGTTCAGTTTAGCTTTATTAAGTACGTGAGACAGAAGTAACTGAAAGCTGATCTAAAATATAGGTACGTGACGTTTAGGCGACATGGCCACCCTCCACCTTGGTCACTGCACACTTTTCGTATGATGGAAACTGTTGGAGACCTACCTGTGTATTGTTTCCATTGTGTTTCTTTCTACTCTGCTACCCTCTCGTCTGTGTGTGATGACGTGCGCTGGCAGTTTCTGGGTGGCGCTCGTTTAGTGCTGAGGCTGAGTTAGAACCGCTGGCTTTGACTGTGTATTTGAAGGAATGCTGTTGTTTCATGCTGGATCTATCTCTCGCCTCGCACAGCCGCAAATCACAATGACATGCCCTTCGCGCCTGGACGCCTCCAGCCATTTTGTTGTTTTCATTATTATGACCCCCCTGTGCGGAAGATGAGAAGAAGAACAAGGTGAAGTTTTCCACATTTTCTAGTGTATTCTCCTGTTTTTTCCTGTCCTTGTCATTCCAACTTTACAAGTGGTGCTGGTTCTGGACTTTTTTTGCATTCATATCCGTAGATTTCTGTTGTCGTCTAGTGCACTTTAATACAATTACGTAACTTTCACGCACTACTCAGTATTGTAGCACTCAGTACACCATTTTATTTTTTTATGCTTTATAAACTTAAAAAAAAAAAGAAAAATAACGACAAAGAATTGCAACCTAGACTATATTATATTTTGTTTTGGCTTTTCATATGTTAATTCTGCATACATTTTTAATGTGAGTTCGTTGTATTAAATGATTCAGCAGTTATATCAATGTATTTTTATTTCACAATTTCTTTTTCCTTTTTTTTTTGGTGACGGTCAGTAGTTTTTTTCATTTAAAGCCTCCAAAAAGCTTACACATTGGCTTTTAGGATTCAACAATTAGAGCTTAAAACCACATCGTAAAGTTCAGTAATGTGCCGTCTTGTGTACGAAAAGTGCTTAGATCACGTGACCCCCGTGTAGTCAGAGGCATCTTCGAGAAGTGCCGCAGTTGTCTAGACGTGTCCCTCACCAAACCCTGGCTCATCGTGAGTCTTTTAGTCGGAAGTCTTAAGGAAACAGTACTGTAGATTTAGACAGTCACACTTGACCACTGTCGTCATAATTCTATTGTCCAGATATTCTCTAGTACCACATGTAACATATTTTCGCCACCCACTCCCTCGTTCTGACTTTACCCCCCCACCCCAAACTCCCCCTCTGGACCCCCCCCCCTTTTTTCCCCCCCCCCCCCCCCTTTTTCCCCCCCCCCCCCCTTTCCCCCCCCCCCCCCGGAAAAAAACATATTCCCAAAGAACCGTACCCCCTCCCCCCCCCCCCCCCCCCCGAAATAATTTAATTTTCTCTTGACTACGCTTTGCTGACAATAATTTTCAATGAAACCCTGCTTCGGGTGACGTGTGTTAATTCTAAACTCGTTAACAATGCCCAATAATGTTCCACTCTATTCTTCCATCATTTTCTTCAATGGGTTCATGGCCGGTTGGGTTTGTTTAACTGCCTCAATAGCTGCAAGGTTTGTTTCTCATTTTCCAGAAGAATCGTTTCTATTTATTTACTTAATTTGATTGATTGATTGATTTATAAATTTATGGTTTGAGGGGGAAAACGATTCTCGAAGACTGTCATTTTTCATAGTGCATTCAACAGAAGAACAAAATGTAGTTTCTGGAATATTTAATCTATCAGACACCCTCAACTATGCACATCTGAAATTAAGTGAAACTTCGTTTATAATATTCTGCTTCTTCCGTTTCAAGTCAGAAAATGTCTTTTAGAACTAACCGTTCAAACTGCTCCTGTTGATCTGGAAACATGCACAGCTACTGAGGCTTTTCTTTTACTCACATTCACCATAATGTATCAGCCATTTGCTCCCTCCCTCCCCCCTCCTCCCCCCCCTCCCCTTCCCGCCAAACCTCCATCAACGTGTTTCCCTTCACCCACCCACTCTTAGTCACAAAAAGTCACAGTTACACCACAAAGTGCCTGACTCATCAAAAACAACAGATGTATCATATTGACAAACGCGCAGCTGGGATCTTGCTTTTTTCTTGTGCATCACTACAGCTCTTTGGTATGTCTCGATTTATAAACGATTTATTGTACACCATATCAGTCTTGAGCGACAACTCTTGCATAACATGCAGAAAATTAATTCCGCATTCTCGATTTTTTAAACTGAAATATCAGTCACTAAAACAAACAACAACAAACAAATAAATAAAAAAACAAATAAACAAATAATTTTAACATTTTGATTTCCCTTCTCCACTCCCCCATTCTTAACCTAAAACCAAGCGATTTGATTTGTAGACCTAGACTCTTGAGTTGTCGTCTGCGTCTTTTCTTTGTTGATGTTGCACCCCCTTTGGTTGTTTTCAGGCTCTGTTTGTTCTATATAACTGAGACACAATCATTCCCAGCATTTACTGACACGAACAAACCTTTAAGAGGACAGTTGTGGTTGGCTGTTGGCTACTTCTTGGTCCCTTGCATGTCAGATGTTGGATGTTTTTAAGCACTGGCATGAGCATGTTTTTATGGTTTGAGTAAATGTTGTGAAGCGTTGTATATAAATGTTTCATATTCTTATAAATATGGTATTATCCAATTATCGTAGCAGTTTTAATGAAAACGAAGATAATTAAATGTAATTTGCTTCGTACTATATCTCGAGGCCATACATTAAAGTGTAAGACTTTGCTTGAATGTACTTGCTGTGTAAAACTATACGTAAATTGTTGCTCGCTTATTGTGGATACATAAGCAGCTTGAAGCATTTAGCATTATTGTAATTATATTCCAAAACAAAGTAAGGGATTGTATGAGTACAGAATTAATTATGAATTTTGTTTTTTCTGTACCGCTTTTAGCTGTAGGTGAAGCTCCGGAGGAGGAGCAGCCGACATTCAGACAAGAGGTGAGCATAGTGACGTCAGAGGCGCCGGGTCCCGAGCAGGAGATCCCGGCGCCCGATGACGTCACGGAGACCGTGTACACGGAGACCTTGGAGTTCACCAGAGAGGTCGTCGACACAAAGGTCACGGAGGAGATCCAACTCTCCCCCGCCCCGGAACAACCGCAGGAAGTCGAGTCGGAAGTCCCGGCTCCTGCGGAAGTGACAGAGACACAGATCAAAGAGACGATTGAGGTGAGGAGAGAGGAAGCTCCCGCGGAAGAGGTGCCGGAGACCTACACGCAGGAGCTAGTGATTTCCCCAAAACCGCAGACATCTCAGGTTGAACTTGACATCAGCTCGGAAGAAACGTTTCAGCAGACGTTGGAGATCACCCGACAGGAAACGCAAGTAGCCCAGGAGGAGCGTTTTACACAGGAAATTTCCTTTGATATCACGAAGAAAGAGCCCGAAAGGGAGCACAGTGAAATTCAAATCACTTTCGATAGACAACCAAAAGAGATTTCTGTTCAAGAAATCGAATTTGATGTGAACTCAGAGCAAACATTTGAGGAGACGTTGGATATCGATAGAGAAATGGTCTCTGAAGTAGCCGAGGTGCAGCAATTTAAACAGGAGATTTCGTTCGATGTTTCTAAGCAAGAAACAAAGAAAACCGAGATTCAGTTTCAGATGGACACGTCAAAAACCGTCATTGAGGAAGACACGATTGAAGTGCTGGAAACGACCGAGGAAGTGGTCGTGGAAGAAGCTGACACAGAGGAGGAGGAAGAGGAGGCGCCAGTCGAGGAGACGACACAGCTAGATGTGAGCCAAGAGGAAATACCATCACAAGAAATTGTTGAAATTACAAAGGAGACTCTTGAAATTGATGAATTGAAACCATCTGAAGTGGAGGAAGTTGAAGAAGTTATTGAGACATCAGCGTTCAAAGAAGAAATTGAAATTGACATCAGAAAGCCTGAGGTTGAGACGACAGAGACTCAAAGGGAGACAATCGTGGTGGAATTTGAACATCCTCAGGAGGTGGAGACTGTGACAGAGGTCACAGAGAGCACCACGGTGGAGGAGACCACAGAGACAGAGACTGAGCAGCCCCGGGAAGAGACGATTGAGGAGCAGAGGGAAGTTATCGTCGTGGATTTTGAGGTTCCTCAGGATGTCGATGAGGTGCAAGAGGTTCTGGAGACTACCAGGGTGGAAGAAACCCCCGAGTTTGAAGTGGATCAACCGAAAGAAGAAACTGTGGAACAAATCCGGGAGACTATCGTCGTGGAGGGAGAGAAACCACAGGAAGTTGAGGAAGTCGAGGTAACCGTTGATACAGCCGTCGTGGAAGAAACGACTGAGGTTGAAGTTGATCAACCCAAAGAAGAAATCATTGAAGAAACCAAAGAAACGATTGTTGTGGAAGAGGAAAAACCACAGGAAGTGGAAGAAACGAAGGAAACAGTTGAAACATCCACGTTCCAAGAAACAATTGAAATTGACTTTGAGAAGCCTACAGAGGAAGAAACTGAAACACATTCTGAAACGGTGACAGTCGAGTTCGAGAAACCCCAAGAGGTTGAGCAGACTGAGGAAGTTGTGGAAACGTCAACATTCCAAGAGACCATTGAGTTTGACGTGGAAAAACTGCAGGACAAAGAGACAGAGATCCACAAAGAGACAATCACAGTTGAGTTTGAAAAGCCTCAGGAAGTAGACACAGTAACAGAGGTAATTGACATCTCCACTACAGAGGAGACCGTGGAAACTGAAATAGACAAACCCCAGGAGGATATCATCGAAGAGGAGAGGGGAGTCATTGTTGTGGAATTTGAGAAACCACAGGAAGTTGACGAAATCCAAGAGGTTGTTGACACCACACCGGTTGAAGAAACGCCTGAGTATGAAGTTGATCAGCCGAAGGAAGAAACAATTGAAGAAACGAAGGAAACGATCGTGGTGGAGAAAGATCAGCCCCAAGAGGTGGAGGAGACTGAGGAGACCGTGGAATCTCCTTCTGTGGAGGACACAACCGAGGTGGAAGGAGATCAGACAACACAAGAGGTGATTGAGATCATCAAGGAAACGGTCGTTATCGAAGAGGAAATTCCACAAGAGGTTGGTGAAACTCAGGAGGTGGTTGAAACCTCAACTTTCCAAGAAACAATTGACCTTGATTTTGATAAGCCGACCGAGGAAGACACCGAGGTGTACAAAGAAACGATTACCGTTGAATTTGAGGAGCCTCAGGAGGTGGAAGAAACAGAAGAACAGGTAGAAACGTCAACATTCCAGGAGACCATTGAGTTTGACGTGGAAAAACTGCAGGACAAAGAAACAGAGATCCACAAAGAGACAATCACAGTTGAGTTTGAAAAGCCTCAGGAAGTAGACACAGTAACAGAGGTAATTGACATCTCCACTACAGAGGAGACCGTGGAAACTGAAATAGACAAACCCCAGGAGGAGATCATCGAAGAGGAGAGGGGAGTCATTGTTGTGGAATTTGAGAAACCACAGGAAGTTGACGAAATCCAAGAGATTGTTGACGCCACACCGGTTGAAGAAACGCCTGAGTATGAAGTTGATCAGCCGAAGGAAGAAACAATTGAAGAAACGAAGGAAACGATCGTGGTGGAGAAAGATCAGCCCCAAGAGGTGGAGGAGACTGAGGAGACCGTGGAATCTCCTTCTGTGGAGGACACAACCGAGGTGGAAGGAGATCAGACAACACAAGAGGTGATTGAGATCATCAAGGAAACGGTCGTTATCGAAGAGGAAATTCCACAAGAGGTTGGTGAAACTCAGGAGGTGGTTGAAACCTCAACTTTCCAAGAAACAATTGACCTTGATTTTGATAAGCCGACCGAGGAAGACACCGAGGTGTACAAAGAAACGATTACCGTTGAATTTGAGGAGCCTCAGGAGGTGGAAGAAACAGAAGAACAGGTAGAAACGTCAACATTCCAGGAGACCATTGAGTTTGACGTGGAAAAACTGCAGGACAAAGAAACAGAGATCCACAAAGAGACAATCACAGTTGAGTTTGAAAAGCCTCAGGAAGTAGACACAGTAACAGAGGTAATTGACATCTCCACTACAGAGGAGACCGTGGAAACTGAAATAGACAAACCCCAGGAGGAGATCATCGAAGAGGAGAGGGGAGTCATTGTTGTGGAATTTGAGAAACCACAGGAAGTTGACGAAATCCAAGAGATTGTTGACGCCACACCGGTTGAAGAAACGCCTGAGTATGAAGTTGATCAGCCGAAGGAAGAAACAATTGAAGAAACGAAGGAAACGATCGTGGTGGAGAAAGATCAGCCCCAAGAGGTGGAGGAGACTGAGGAGACCGTGGAATCTCCTTCTGTGGAGGACACAACCGAGGTGGAAGGAGATCAGACAACACAAGAGGTGATTGAGATCATCAAGGAAACGGTCGTTATTGAAGAGGAAATTCCTCAAGAGGTTGACGAAACTCAGGAGGTGGTTGAAACCTCAACTTTCCAAGAAACAGTGGACATTGACACCGAGACAGGAACCGAGGAGGAAATTGAAGTCTATAAAGAAAAAATCACAATTGAATTTGAGGAGCCCCAAGAGGTGGATGTTTCGGAAGAGACTGTGGAAACTTCCACTTTCCAGGAGACTATCGCTTTTGACATCCAAAAACCTCAGGAGGAAGAAACAAAAGAGCAAAAAGAGACTATCACTATCGAATTTGAAACACCACAAGAAGTGGACACATTTGTGGAAGAAGTTGAAATGTCTACTACAGAAGTCACAGAAGAAACAGAAATCGACAAGCCTCAGGAGGAGACAATTGAAGAAGAAAGAGGGGTCATCGTTGTCGATTTTGAGAAACCACAAGAAGTGGAACAAGTGGAAGAGGTAGTTGATACTGCTGCTGTTGAGGAAACTCCTGAATATGAAGTGGATCAACCAAAGGAAGAAACCATTGAGGAGACAAAGGAAACTATCACTGTGGAGAAGGAAATTCCACAAGACGTGGCTCAGGTTGAAACTGTTCTAGAAACATCGGTCGTTGATGAAACTCCAGGGATGGAAGCTGAACAGCCTAAGGAAGAAACAGTGGAAGAAACGCGTGAAACAATCACTGTGGAGGCTGAGCAACCCCAGGCTGTCCAGGAACTTCACGATGTGGTTGACACAGCTGTTGTGGAAGAAACCACTCAGGTTGAAGTTGATAGACCTCAGGAAGAGACCATCGAAGAAACCAAAGAAACGATTGTTGTAGAAGAGGAAAAACCACAAGAAGTTGAAGAGACTGAAGAAGATGTTGAGGTCTCCACTTTCCAAGAAGGTATCGAGATTGAAATCAAGAAACCAACAGAGGAAGACACAGAGGTGGTCAAGGAAACCATCACTGTTGAGTTTGAGAAACCACAGGAAGTGGAGGAAGTTACAGAAATTGT